CTGTAGGAATGCCAGCATTTTACTCACAGTAAGTAAGTGTAATTCCCAATGTGATACTGCACAAGTGTCACAGCAGATCAAAGCTGCTTTTATGAAGAGATGAGTCCTGCGCAGGACTCAAAAGGTGGTAAGGGACTAAATAGTCTTGATCCACTGGATCACAGGACAAAACTGTGTTGTCAGTGAGTGATCCACTGGATCACAGGACACAACCGCGGCACCAGAGAGTCTCTCAGGGGTACCTCAGTTCAGATGCCAATGAAACACAACTCAAGTAGGGGAAATCTAAAGTAATCATTTATCTGCATTTACTTCCAGAAAACATACCAGCAGAAAGCACACAAACACAACAATTGCCCATTTTTATGCTCTTTAGTGCTACCAAACTTACATCAAAACATTATTACCCTACCAATCTTAGTAAAAATATTTCAGAAAATGACCTTGTTGTAATGCCAGTGATAAGGTCAGCGCATCTCAGGAGTTTGAGCGCCTAGAATTGCTCAGGTTTAAACACCTCAGCCCAGCTCCTCTCAGTCTGATTGAAAATTACTCAACGACTCACCGATGAACAAAGCCAGGATAGTGGAAATTGACTATATTGATAGGATTTCTGAGTAAGATCATTTGAAATCTATTATGTATTTCCTTAAAAAATACTCAGAATTATGATTTTTCTTATCATACCGGTAAATCCTGATGGACTAAGTTCTGACTTTAATTCTGAGCTCTGTTGCCCTGCTCATTAGTGATTCCCTTGCCAGTGTGCTGATGGTTTACTACTGGTTTCTCGTCCCAGTGACCAGTCTGCGCCTGATGCTCACTCTTTCTGCTTTCTGCAGCTGGGGTGCTGGCAGATCTTCTTTTAGTTTTATGTGGGATTCATAGCTTGGTGACTGTGTATCAACACACAGGAGATAACGCACTCATGCCATCTTGTTTTTTAACAGGTTTCTTTATTTGTCATCTTTTACAATGGAGTTTCATGTCAGAAAGATGTTGTAACCTTGTGAAAATCTTAAAGTTTGCAAGAGGCCAGCCAGGCTGTTCCTTGACATTTGAAAACATGGCACATTTTTCTTCTTCTCCTAACTCATCTCAGTCAAAGCCTACATCATTAAATATGTTTAGACTTGTTTCCCTGGACTGAGGAAAACCAGGACTGTGTTTTCAAGCTGTGTCTTGCCAAACCATGAATGTTGCACCATGTCGGTAAGAGTTTTACATTTAAAAACAGTAAATATATCTCTGCCAAGAATTATGTTCCCATTTGTAGCTATCTTTGCTCAGTTTAATTACATAACTTGTTTATATGTTTTCTGACTAAGAATGTAACTTTTTTTAAAGTATGAAAATAAAGGCAATTTACCCAAATTACCTGCCAAGATTACATTCAGAACATCTGCCTTTTGTTTTGGTTTGTTATTTTCTTGCCAATAAGATTTATTTGTTTCAGCAAAATCCCTTTTCTTCCCTGCATTGTTTACAGCTGCTTTTATTAAAGGACTTTCAACACATAGACTAAAGAGAGCACATCAGCATCAGAGGAAAAGAATACAGGGAAAATGCAAAATATAAGACTCATCCATTATTTGAATAATTTGAATTTTATTATTGGGAATAACATCATCTGGCAGCAATAGGTGCTCTTTTATTTTATGTGCATACACACACATAGCAAAGGGAAACACTAAACCTGTCCACAGCGGCTTCGGGGTCACAGTGTGGCCCCTGGACAGGCTAGCTTGAAGTTTCTTGGAAGAGCTGAGGAAAAACCCCACAGTGACAGTACCTCATGGCCTTTAACTCTTCCAGCTCCGTGTTTACATTAGCCTGTGATTTTAACTCCAGCCTGTCTGGTGCTGAAGGGCGCAGCTGGGAGCACACATTGAAACGGGTTTGCGGGGCGCTTCGTGTTTCCCAGCTCGGCCGCTGACAGATGGAAGACCCGGTGGAGCCACTGTACCGCAGCCCCCTCTCCGGGATCATCCGCAGGGCAGGGGGCTTCCTCTCCTTGTTACTGTCGGTCACTGAATGCATTATCGCCGGGACCCCGCGCCACAAAGGGCCGGGCCGGGCCGGGCCGAGCCGCGCTGCACGGCAGCTCAGCCGCGGAGACCAGTCCTGTGCTCCGGCAGGACGGGGATATTTCCACCCAGTTTACACGTTAATTTACACATTGGCCAAGAAAATACAGTGGGATCCTGGCACACGCGATTAATCATCGTCTAATGCATGAAGTGAATATTCGCATTCCTACAGAAACACAGTGAGCAAAACTTGGTCCCGATGTTTTTTGAGTCGCAGTAACAACCTCTATTTTTAGTGTTCACGACAGATGAGAAATTTGTCAAATAACTTTCTGAGCAGGAGCTGTAATCTCAACCACGCAATTTAAACATCGACATTCATTTCTTAATTTCCTCTCAGGATTTTGCCTACTTCCTTAGCTGAAAAGGATATGTAGCCACCCAGAAACTCAGCCCCTTAAGCATTCCTCCATAACTACAGTTTCCTCAGTTTATCCATGATGTTTTATCTCATTAAACATCCTGCATTTTGATTTACAAGCAGAAAGCTGAAGCAAAGCTTTTTTTTTTTACACCAGGGGGAGGAGTCTCTGTTTGGCACTTTTCTGTTGTCAAAACACATGTAGAAATAGGGTGTGGAAACATTCTTTAAGCTTCTGAACTGTGAAAATTCAGTTCTGTAAATGAGGTGTTGATGTATTTCAGAACCTGGGCGGAGAACATCTGAAGTACCCTGGATAGGCGTGTGAAATTATGAAAATGACAATTCTGCTATTTTTTGTTTAGCATTTTTCTCACTGACCTAAAGCCCTTTGTGTCCTACAGGCTGGAAAGATACAAGCTCGCACGCTGACCTGCTAGTGACCTTAATGCTGACCTGCCAGCTCTGTCGTGGGATTGGTGGAGTGCTGTGTCAGTCTCCACACAGATCCCTCCTGTTCCAGTCTGCCGGACATTATTCCAGGATTTGTGTGCGAGGAAAGTTCCTGACTCCTGAAAACATTAGATCCGCTTTTTAAGATGTAGAGCAAAACAATATACCGTCTTAAACTTTACTCTGGTGAGAGTGGTGTGAAATTTTTGTGTTTCAGCCTTTCATTTCTTACATCCCCAATTAACTGTTTTTTCTATATATACAAGAAAACAAATTGTTACACATTTTACAGTATATACATAACACAAATCATTTATTTAAAAAAAACAGACAGAAACTTGTTCAGGTCTCAAGCTATAGCTCAAACACATTAATTCCTTCCTCACGGCACCACCTTGTTAATAAAGGTTTCTGAAACCAAGGACGCGTGTATTGTACAGAACATACTTTCAAATCCTTTCATGCAGACTACGAGCATATAAAGTAACACCCCCGTTTGTCTCTCCTCCAAACATCCTCTGCTCCCTCGCCGCTGACCCGAGAACAGACCGTTAAAATGTTTGAGAGCCGGGTTAATATTTGTGGACAGCAGATGACGACCGTGCGGTGTTAATCAAGCGGTCAGCGCCAGGTCGTCCGTCAGCCGCTCCGGCCGCAGGCTCGGCTCTGGGGCTGCTGGCCAGGTCCTGTTGGGGCTGTGTGTACCAGCAGCGTTTCCTCTGTCTCTGTGTAGGAATTACAGTGAGCAGCAAGGAGGGGCTGGTGCCATGAATTACTTGCACATTCAAGGCGAAATTTAAGACCTTACAAGTCCTTAGTGTATAATAAAAATCTGCTTAAATTTTAACTTAAAGCGCTTTAGACAGATTTAAAGTTACCAGTAGGGCGTACAATATTTTAACTCCACAGCGTGCCACCAATTTGCTGTGTATATTAGCTCAGGCTCCCTGCCAGACATCTAGATGGACTATTTTATCCTGCAGCCTAGTGGGCCGGGGCAGGTATTTCACGGCGCCGTTCAAAATTAAAGAATACTATTTCATGGGAAATTGCATGAGATGTACAGAGCGAACGATCAAGCTAAGAGAGATCAGCACGCTGCGCAGTGCCTTTATGTGAGGGGAGAGCCATCTGTTTCCCTGCCGGCCCGTATTGATGGGAACAATGGCCGAGAGGAGATGCTGAAAACCACCATTAAAATGCTCCGCGAAGGACGATGATTTAATGTTGGCGGATTGCGGTTAAGTGGTTATTGTTCCTAATGTGGAGAAATGTGGTGAGCGAGGAGCTAGGGCAGCAGAGTCCTCGCACTCACTTGGTGATTACTGACCCCTGCAGCTCACAGGAGGTAACTGCACGACTCCTGGGCAGCCAGGGGGAGCAGCACAGTCAGGCAGAGTCGCCGGTTTTAACCCACCTGCGCCTTGCGGGGATGCCTTGCAGCTGACCTCTGACCTACAGCGCATCGCCCTAGCTGAGTTGGGACAGTCCCTGTGTGGACATTCGCCCACAATGTCCCGTTTTCTGACTGGTACTGAGAGGATTTACTTAATTACATGTGATGGCTGCGTCCCCCGTTGAGTCTGTATAGCCGGGATAATAATATTGCCTCTGCAGTCTTGTTTGTAATTGCGTAATATCACTAGGAAAACAGACACGTCGTTGTAGCTAAAGGACGTACTCTAAGCTGTTGTTAATCTTTTTGCATTGTGCATTGAAGGGCTGTGGGATTTTACTTAAAATTTATTTTGCGCTGGCGTTTTATAGGGATTTTCATTTGCGAAAAAGGCGCACTCCTTGCTACGCTACGTAGGCGTTATTATTTTTTTCTTAAAGAAAAGTCGCCGGTTTCAGTTCTTACAGATCGCTGCTTCTGCACTGTCAACAAACACAAGACACCACGCTGCCCCTGCCTTCGCGGGTCTGAGGCTTGAAGCTCCAGCACCATGGAAACCGCGGCGCCTGTCCAATGAGAAGAGAGGACCGGGAGGCCTGTCCAATCAGAGCCCGGTCCCCGTCCCCTGATGGAGAATGAGGAAGTGGGCTCGGCGCTGGGGGTCCGCATGTACGGCAGGCAGCCGGTAGGCTGTGCGAGAGAAATGCTTTCTTCACTTCCTCATTACTTACTAGCTACAGAACTTCCTTGTTAATAACTTCTATCAGGAACAAAGACAGAAACAACTATGCAGCCCATACCAGAAGATTTAAAGACACTTATTTCAGGTTATATATTTGTTTGTTTTTAATATTGCGTTATTTTTTTCTGTGTATGTTGATTTTTTTTTCGCTTTCGTGTTTTTTTTTATCACGTTTGGCTATTTGGTTTCTTTTAAAAAGATCAAAAGAGAGGAAGTAACATGAGCGACGACCGAGGAAAAAAAGAGCGAAAGCTGTTTTCGTATGCGTGTGACCTCAGGTGTTTTGTTTTCCTACAGTACCAGGCTGAAGCTCTCAATCCGTGTGCGCTCCTGTACCTTGGTCTCAAAGCGGTGTGAAAGATGCAGGTGTGAGTGGTGTCTGGAATTGACAGCTGGGGCCTAAAACGATTGAGGAACTCACTCTTGTTGTCGTATTTGAGGTCCGCTTAACTGGCAATTAAACACAAATTAGTTTGGTCATATATTCTCTGCAAGAAAAACCTTAGGCTGTATCTGCGGTTTGTGTAATTCGTTTACATACGCTTCTTTAACAAGAATAATAAACGAATTTACTGGAGTGTAATGTTAACTCTGGTTATCAGTTTCTCTCCTCTGCGCTTGTGTTTGCCTTCAGACGAGGACTCTAGACTCGTGTGTGATCTGACATCTGATATAATTCACAGCCAGTGTGCAGAGTTTCCAGTTTCCTTCGGAATACAGTAGTTCATGTTGAAGAATTCTGCTCGTTAAAAGGAAAATACAATTTTGCTTTGTTTGATGTGTTTTCAGGTCAGAATATGGCTCTTATCAAACACAACGTTCTTCAAAGAGGTAAAAAGACTAGGCTTGTTCATTTGGCTAACAAATATCCTGTTGTCTGCTAGACTTGGAGACCTTTCTCTCTGACGTGCTCAAGGGGGAGAATTTAAGTAAGAAGGCAAAAGAGAAGAAGGATGCATTCATCAAGAGAATTAAAGAGGTGAAATCAAGGTAAAATAAAACTTTCTCCTTCACCCTTGTTTAAATGCCCTGTGCTACCTCTGATGTAACCTTTACTGCTGTATCGTGTACCTTCATCACCTGGAGGGCGTAATGTAGTCTTAGTTGCTTAATGACACTCGCCCTAATTGGTTCAGTTTAAAATGATCATCAACACTGGGCATGGGTGCTACGTTTTAGAATGATTAAGCCAGGAAGAGCTTCTTCTCTTCCAGATTAACCACTCACTCTTAAATGAGGATAAAGGCTTGTTGGTGAGAGCTGAAACAGCAGGGTCAGTTACAAGCGAGAGGAGGAGCCCTTCAGCCATGTGTTCTAGCTGACTGATGCAGGGTCTCAGCCAGCTGGTTCTTGAAAGAAGTCAGGGTATTGGCTTCAACACCCTGACCTGGTAGCTTGTTCCCCAATTCCACAACCCTGAAAAGAAAAGTTTATTTAAAGCCTGGAGGAACTTCAGAAATGCTGTACCACAAACTAATATACTATATAGTTCAGGTGGGTAGCTGCGTCAGCATGCGTAGGCTGCAAAGGAACAAGTAATAGGTTTATTCCATGCTGAAAAAAAAGAAGAAAGAGAACACGACGAACACAACGTTTCGGCCGTGGAGCCTTCTTCAGGTGTGAGAGAGACAGGGCAGTAGGCAAAGGTAAAGTAGCGGGAGAACAAAGGTTGGGAGGGAGGAGTAATATACTATATATACTTACATGTGTAATCTGTGTGCTGACTGATGAAAACGCCAGCTTTTAAACAACAGTTTTGACACCTTCATGAAAATATTAATTTTTGCCGAACTATCTCATTCACCAACACATCTGTGTGAGCTATTTGGTCTGGATTTGTAAATACAGTAAATCCCATTGAAATGTATTTGATCTAATACTGCAAAATGAGCTTTTAATTAATTTGCATTTAAAGATAAGGAAACAGTAACACCAGCTGTGTATGAATTCTGTGTGAAAAACACCACAATGAGGTGAGGTGTGATTTCGTTTTGTTTAAGCTATAATTGGTTTCCTCCACCCAGGAATGTCTTGGTAAGATATTTGATGACCTGCCTGAAAAGACGTAAAATGCTACCATGAAGGCAAAAAATCTTTTGCATTTATTTTGTGCTAATTGTGTTTTATTGTTTTCTGCAGTTATCCTCAAGATTTTCAAGAAAAACGTAAGTACAGCCTGTTTAATGATGGCACAGTGCGGTAGCTCACCCATCCCCCACTGCGCAGAGCCTCAGACCTGGTGGTGTTGTCGCCCTCTAGTGGAGGAACGGGGAGCCAGCAGGAGCCGCGGCCTGTTATTTATTGGGTTTGGCAGTGGGCGCACTTTGGGGTTTATTCCGGAAGAGAGGAAAGTCTGCTTACTAATATATCCGTGACCAACTCTGCAGAAGGAATTATCTGCATGACCCACATATTTTATACTGATTAGTAATTCACCATTTATTTAAAAAAATGTAAAAAACAAACGCCGAATTGCGTAAGAAACATAAATACTGTAAGCATTTACTTTATTAGTTTGTTTGCAAACAATAATAAATGAAATCAGTCCATAAATCTTGCACCACATGAAAATAATTCAGTGTATTTCTGGACTGTTCTGGGATGCTTTGTTAAAAGTCGTATGAAACAAATTCAATACTTTTCGCTGTTTTTTTCTTGGTATATGTATAGAGTACATTGCAGGATTTTATTATAGAGTTTTGCAGTGGGCGGTCACAATATACCTGCATTATGTTAATAATGGTATTTTTTATTAAAGTGCAGAGGAGGATTCAGTATTCTGAACTATCATTTCTGTTGCTCTAGGATCAGCGAAATCATGTAAATAAAAGTGCGATGTCTGGGTTCATGACCGCAGTCTGGGGCTGTGGGTTCGAGGGTCGCGGCCCGGGGTCAGCGCAGGCCTGTGTGCGAGGCAGCGGCGCAGGGGTCGAGCTGTGCAGGCTGCAGCCCGCATCTCAGCCAGCAGGCGCCCTGAGAGGCTCCTGGCAGCATGAGCAGTCGGAGGCAACGGTTGTCATGCAGGCATGTCCAAGCGGAGGAAGAAAATCGGGACAGGCGTTATTTATCATGTGACGAGGGCTCCAGCGAGAACAGGGCGGTGTACAGAGAGCAGGAAACCGCAGCCCCCAGCCCTGCGGAAGCTGCACAGTGACTCTGCTGCGCTAAAGTTAATTACAGAAGGGTCCTGTGTAGTTGAATGTCCAATTACTTGCCTGCATTAAATAGAAAAATACCGCTGGAAGATAAGTACTGGCTGTTCGTCAGTAGAAGGTGGCCTTAGTATCCTCACCCGCCACTTGCAAGACTTTCCATATAAGTCCCCAATTTTCCCTTGCAGTCAGATATTTAAAACCTCAATCATTGTGTGCTAGATGTGTAGAGAGGGTCCTGGGAGCAAGACAAGGTTCCGGCTGTGACCTCGGTTATTCGGCTTTTCTCGCACACTGACGCTGAGTGAGTATGGCCAGCATCAGGCCCCGGCTCTTCCAACTCTCCCCGAGTTTTCTTTCCAGTTAAAAGACTCCTGAGGCTTATGGATTACTGTCGATTCTGACAGCAGTTTTTAAGTTGCGCGAATGTTGTTGTTATTCGAAGAGAGATGCAGAGAGACGCAGAGAGCCCTGCTGCCAGTGAAAGCTGGAGAAAACATTCAGACATTCTGTCTGGGCTGATCACTCAGGTCTTCTCTCCCGGTTTCCCCTCATGTCCTGCAGCCTGATCTGTCTCTCTCTCCCTGGACTGTTACACAAGCACCAGGTCTCCATTTGTTAGACACAGTGAGACACATTTCACAGGAGTGAAAAGCTGAGCCTGCGTTCCCAGCTCCCACACAAGGGTTTTGCACATTATTCTTTTATTTTCCTGCCTTTTACACGATCGCACACAAGCTCTTCCCTTCCTCCCAAGCCCTTCCATTCCCACGCAGTAGCTGGGCTGGGTCTGTGGATTAAATAAAGATTATTTTCATGTGACTGAATGTTTCACTGGCCTATTGTTATGCAGAACAACCAATTTTCCTTCAATATATAAAACATTTAATCATTTTTTTCCTCTTCCTGAAATAAAACACTAGTATTTATTTCTTCTTGGGTTATTTTAGACTAAAGTTTTAATACCAGAAGCAGTTTTTTTCCCACTTTTGTAACTTGCTACAGAGTGCAATTGAAATAAGCTGTGTTGTTCAAATGAACTTTCCCGCACTCCAGAAAAGTGTGCAAATTTTAATTCCCTTAAAAAGGCTTTGTTTCTGCTGTGTTTGGCATGTTGGTTTTCCTTAGTAAAAAAAAACAACAATATTTTTCTGCTAATTACATAAATTAAATACATTTTAATTGTGAAATTATAAAATCTTGTTCCTGGAATGCATGAGCATACCAATATTTTTATTAACTGTTAATAATTTTCTGTGGTTGTCTTTTGAAATACTAAATAATCTGATTTGAAAGTTGTAACTGTTAGTACCTTGTGAATACCTATAGCTAAAATGTTCACTTCAGAGTTTTGTAGCTGTTTCAGCAAATTCTCAGTATTGAGATATTTTAGTGCTTAAATCTGACTCATATCCTGACAAGCATTTTTCATACAGTTTTTAACTCTAAATTTGACAGTCATAATTAAGGAACAAAGGGCTCTCTGTTGTGCTGAACAGAGCTGCGAAAGAAATTCAAAAATAATTCTTTCCGTTACTTTGAAAAATGTATCTCCTTTGCCTTTAAGGTTTATTCACAATTTATAATCCTATTCAGTAGTGTACTTATATCAAAGTGGTTAAAAGATGATTCCTACCCAGCTATAGTGCTATTACTGTTTTTAATAGGGCTCGTTTATGTTTCATTAAGGTTATTTATTTTTACTTAGAGGAAAGCGAGGCTCATCTTAATTATTTAACAGGCTCATAATGGCTTGTATCTACTCTGTCACCCACACCTCATCTTTCTTGATGCATTTAACACTGCTTGGTAGATGACTGTTTTAAACTTTTCAATAAAGGCTTAATCTTCACTTCATCTCAATATATCACAACATGTTCGAATAGAGTTTGATGTACTGGTATGACACTTGAACTATTAAGTGTATAAAGTAATGACATTGTAATCCATTTTCAACACTAACAAGTCTGTACATTTTTTGAGCAATAACATTTTTCAAGTGCTCGAGTAGAATACAAAAGTATTTTTTTCTCATCTTCTGGTCTTAGAATATCACATTTTTATATTAATAACAATAATTCTTTATCTTTAATAAAGCAACCTATAATTGCTAGTGAAATAGCTACTCTTCATTAGGACATACCCCTGGTCATTACTTTTAGTCTCATTTATTATTAATTTTTCAGGTCCTTTTGTTTGATGGACATTAATTGCCTAATTAATTGATAATGTTAGTCTTTATGAAATGAACTCTCATCCATCCAAAAAATTGGATTGGGACTGGCAAAACTAATTTATTTTGACTGTGCACGGCCTGGCTTAAAATAACTTTTACTCAATACTGACATTGACTTGGTCTCACAATATTGACCCTACCTTCTGTTGAAACAGCAAGCTAACAGAAGAGCTTAGTTCGCCTCCTTTTGATTTGTTTAAACCAAATCCATCAATCTGTGTGCCTCCCTACATGTGTTGGCATTTACTTTTCCAGTGTTTAATGCGGACATTGCATAGTCAAAACAGCAGGGCTGTAGGAAGCCATTTAAGCCTCAAAGCAGACAGGTTATATCTGTCAGAATGCAGTTACTCTGGGTGAATTCTCAAAATCATCAGATTATTTTGACAACGAGCAACATTTCTGCACGAAACAGAGATTCATTTATTACCAAATCCGAATCAAGCCTTTAATGTTTTAATTTTTACTGCAGGATTATTTAAGTGTATTTTAGGTAGTTTTACTTTTTAAGTAATCCCCTCTGTGTTTTGAAAAACCAGGCCTTAAGTAGATCATGAAAGCTGTAATGCAGAGAAGACTTACAGTTTTTTGTTTAACACAGGTGATGCAGAGGACTCTGATAATTATGAAGAACCCGATGGCAGCGACAGTATCTCTGAGAGAGCTGACAAAGACGAGGAATCCTGCTACGATGGTAGGTGCTGGTTACAGGATCCCTGGTGGATCCTGGCTCTGAGTTCATACGGGCTTGTTTTATTTTTTTCTTTTCAGCCCAAAGGCGCTAACCTGTTTCAGTTTGTGCACTCAGAGAAGTGACCGCTGGAGATAAGCGCACGTTATGGGACCTTTGTGGTCTCCCCTTCACTGGCCTGTACCACCTCAGTCTGCTGCACGTTACCCCGCAGCTCCGCAGTGAACGTTCCTGACGAGTAGGAGCAGGAGCATCGTGGCGAACGGTTGAAAGCCTCCGACCGAGGCCATGTGGCCTGGACTAACTGAAGAGCGCTCTCTAGTGGTGCTCACTGAGAACAGCACTGCTGTGTTCTTTGTCCTGCTCTGTAGCCCATCCGTTCCTCGTGGAGATCCTGGGAATGAAAGGCACTCTTTTTGTGCTTCTGTTTCGGGGCCTTTGCTTAGGTTACACAGTGTTTGTTTTGTGATGCCATTATGGAGAGTGAATATAAAGGTAAAAGGCTTGATCACGTACCGAACAAGGCGGGCACTTTTCTTTTTCACTTTTTCTGAATCATGGGCAGTCCAGACAGTTTACGATCCATTTGTGATTTTGAGATGTACAGAGCGTCACGTCTGTAATCTTCTTTCCTGCTTGTGTCCTACACCGCCTGGTGGTCGCAGTAGCAGCAGTCCTGCTGCTGAGTACACAGGCTGTAGCACAGCTGCACGACCCAGTGTGGAGCTGTTCGGCACGGTGCTCTGTCCCCCCATTTGTGCCTCCGTGCTGGGAGACAAGCACGCCCGCGGGCTGTTGGACCGTGTGAGCCCACTACTCCGACAGCAGCGCTCAGGCACCAGTCAGAGGACAGGGCTCAGGACTTGCTGAGAGCACAGCGTGCAGTCCCCAGGGTCACCACAGGGGGAGCTGCTGGGAGGAATGGGAAAGACACTGGCTGAACTGAGCCAAACCGCTTCACAGCAGCTCAGCCGGGCCAGGTGAGGCCCCACAGGAAACTGGGATGTGGTTGGTTTACGACATAACCCAGATTCAAGCACCAGTGGGGTTCAGCCTGACTCAGGAGCCTCTTAAATTCTGTTTAATTAATTGCAGTTTGAACCTAATGAAACAGCAGAATTATTTTTTGTTTAGCACGGTGTTAACAGCAGCTCTGCCTTTCCTGTTTTCTAGCAGTTTATCTAAATGATCAGCATGTTTGCATAGCATGGCTCCATCCCTCCGGAAACATCAATTCTTCCTATTAAGGGGAGAGTGATAATTATGACCGAAGAGGGATCGATTGTGTTCTCGCTGTGTATTGCTAATAAATAAACTCACAACATGAAGCATTCTTGCTTGAATTTACAGTAATAAACTTGGTCTGAAAATGTCTTTATTATGACTGGTAATCCCTAGATGAAGAACATAAACCACAGGTATTTTAGTGAGTCCTTAGTACAGTCATTTTATATGCTTTGGATATGTTTCTTTGGAAGGGCTTTGTTTTAAACACATTGTGTAGCTTGGCAGTTAATTTAATAGCTGTTCTAACAGCAGCGGTAGAAACTTTCATTATTTTTGCATGACAAAATGCCCATCAACCTAAATTATTAACAATATTTCAACATTGTTTTGAATTACAGATTTGTTTCAATTTCGAAAAAGTAAAATGATTTTTATTCATTACAAAAACCGATTTCGATCCGTACTCTTCTCTGTTGTGTTGTGATAGAAGCGCAGTAATTTTGAGTCTCTATTTTTAGGTATTTCTGTTTTCATGTCAGTGTAATGTTTCGGGCCCGGGGATATCGAACCCCACATCTATCTGGTTCTGTGCTTGGTTGACGCGACTCATATGTCCTTGTCTTCGTGAATCTGGTTCAAAAGTTCACACAATTCCCCAAAGCCCACCTAATTTTCTAGTTATTCCCTTAAGCCATATGTGTTTGGCTTTTTATGGTTTATTAGGTACAGTAGGAAAAGAAACATTACTTATATCCCCTAATGAAATTCAAGAACTATTTGGTGATGCGTCCACTTGATCGCTGGCAGCAATCAGCGGAGGACAAGCTGGGGTGAAACGGGTGCTCACCCGGGTTCGAGCGCCTGCCGGCCCTGACTGGCCAGGCGCCGTGTGCCCCGATACACACCCCGCGCCCTGCCTGTGGCACGCGGCTGACGGATGGAGAGACGGGAGGCGGGTGAGCGCTAATAGGCAGAGTTCACACTCGGGTTACTGTGAGCTGATAACGAACCTGCCGAGGTTTTGATTTTCCCTCTGAATGCGGATGCCCCAGATTAATGGAATCTCATTGAGTGAGCAGGGGCGCTTGCAGCCGCCGCTAAGGGAAACGGATGGATATCCTATAATCGTGTCAGCCCGCTAATGCCTACTGCCTGAAACGATGAGTTGCTCCCTGTTCAGGGGCCTTAAGAGGGCATCGATTTCAAATGTGTTTGGTTTTTTTTTCTAACCTGTATCAGTTTGCACAGACACTTCGGAGAAGTGACCGCTGGAGATAAGGCCATTTTACGGGGCCTTTGTGGTGTCCCCTTCACTGGCCTGTGCTGGATTCGGCAGAGATGAAAGCGGAGGTTATCTTCAGACACAGGTCTGGTATCTCGTAATTGACACCCAGCGCTCTGGAGGTGCTCCTGCCTGAGCCCTCCCTGTGTCCGGGCCTCTGTCCGCGCAGCAGAAGGGGAGGGGGCATGGTGTGTTCAAAAGGTGATCATAATGGGACAGGACAGCGTCCCTTTGGCACTTTCTCTGCTTTTACCAGCTATTTGTGCGGTGTGTTTGATTCGTAGTTATGGCAGAATAATAAAATCTGTCTCGTGACCAATCTCACTCTTCTAGAGGGCCTGGATGTTTGCTAGGTATGTAGGGATGATTTCAAGTGTAGGTTTTTTTTACAGTGGAAGCGTCTTCATTGCTGTGCTCCTTTTGTCACTTGTGACGTTTCTCGTGTCGAAGCCTTTGTTGTGCTGCTGGACCTCTTTTTTTAGGAAATACTTCCTAACAAGTGAAATAAACATTTATACTTAGAAAATTGTGATTATTAAGTCATGGATTAAATTTGGAAATGTGCACCTCAGAAGGCTAATCATTTGCTTGAGTCTACCTAATTTAAATACCGTATTTATCATAGCAATGCATTTTGTTTCAGTATCAAAGACTTAACACTCATTCTTCATTTTGTATTTCAGTTGTATCCTAATTGTTTTACAGAAAAAAGTTATAATCTGCAGTAACAAAATATGGCTCTTAATTGTCCTTTTTATGAGAGATCTGAAAGGTGAGTGGAAAAAATACACCCCTCAATATTATGTATGAAATGGCCTTTGTAATTATTAGGAAAAAGAAATTGAGCTTTCATCTCTTTATTAAGGCCACGTAAGAAACAATCAGAGGTGTGTTTTGCAGCAGCTCTTGGACATCTCCTGCAGAACAAGAATACGGCTGTGGTGCTTGATATTTCAAAGCGCTCTGCATCAGTTCACTACACAAGTGAAGAAACTGGTGCTGTATGTGAAAATTAAGGCATTCGAATATTTTTCAAATTAAAGTATTTTCCTGTGAGCCAGAACCGAAACAAATGTATAGTACCAATATTCTGTTGTATAAATCATTTTTAGTCTACTTCCCTCTGGAAAAAATGATTACATAGTTGGTACTAATATCCAGTAAATTACGGATGCGTACAGTAGGAATGCAGTTCTCACTGTGGCTTGAACTGTGTTTTATCAGTGTTGGGGCTGTTCTGGGATTTATTGGAAAACATCACCAGAGATCGTGCTCGGCTGCTCCAGTGCTTTTGTCTCACTTGTTTTCTGGGATCTGTCCCTCGGCAGTGGGTGGGAAGGACGGCGCACGGTTGCAGTGTTTCACTCGCTGTTCCCTGTCGCGTTGTCAGCAAAGCGTCGAGTTCCAGGCTTCCGCTCTTGATTCTCCACAACCGAGACGAAGAAGTACCAGTTCAGCTTCTAAGAGATACTGAACCAGTTCTGTTTTTTTTTCCTCAAGAGTAAAAGCTTGAGCAGTTGCTCGTTTGTGCGGTGCAGCAGTTAAACTGATGCTAAACGTTGACTGTTGTGTAACAGATGGAAGAGAGCAGTGAAGGAGCTGAGCTATAAATCACAGACACAAGGCAACTGGAATGTTCCATGAGGCGGCCTAGTGTGTTCAGAGTCTTCCTGCTCTTTGTTTCCTTCCATCGTCCATGGTAGATGCTGACCTTGGAGAAAATGTATAAACCTTTGGTATATATGTTTTTAAAAGCAGACACGTCTCGCCCGCTTTCGACCGTAATTAGATGGTGGCACACGTCTAGCGCACCCGCCGCAGAGCGAAGCTGGTTTTTAGGGTGCTTAATGGAGCACCGGGCCAGAGCTCTGGAACAGCAGACAAGCAGCGTGTTAAAGCAATGGCTGCTACTTAGGCAATGAATTACTCCGACTTCCATAAAGAGAGTTCGGTTTCAGTTTTCCTAACCTTTGGAGAGGTTCATTTAGAAGAATGTACACAGATGTCATAGGGAAAATGATTCAATTGCATCCATTAAGTGATGAATTTGCAGACTGTATTGTTTACTTTAGCTGAGGTCCAGTACACATTCATCACATGAGCCGACGGAAGGCCTGGGACCGCGGAGCTATTATCAACTTTCACTTCATATCGTGTGACAAACTGAATGGGCTTGTTTAGAAACGGCCATCGCCTTGCGGCGTGCTATCAGCTGTTTATATTAACCTTGTTTAAGTCTGATAATCAACACTTGGAACTGCAGATCGTCTTGTAAGACTCAATAGCACTTCAAATGGAGAGCCCCCTGCCCCGAAAAATAAAAGCCTACTTTGGCTGAAAGGGAGATTTAATGTTGAAGTTCTGCTTCATCTCATCCAGGGGTGTGACGTCAGGGGGGTCGTCTGAAACGGACAGTCGCAGCAGCAAGTCGCCGTGCAGGAAGCTTGTGTGCGCAGAGAACACTTCAGGTTCTGTAAGGATTCGGCTTTAATGG